ACGACGACGACGACGACGACGACGACGACGACGACGACGACGACGACGACGACGACGACGACGACGACGACGACGACGACGACGACGACGACGACGACGACGACGACGACGACGACGACGACGACGACGACGACGACGAAGACGACGACGACGACGACGACGACGACGACGACGACGACGACGACGACGACGACGACGACGACGACGACGACGACGACGACGACGACGACGACGACGACATGACGACCACACGACCACAACAACAACCACCACCAACAACAACAACAACAACAACAACAACAACAACAACAACAACAACAACAACAAGTCACAAGAACAACCACAACCACAACCAGAGCCACAATGACAACCACAGCAACAGCTAACAAACAAACAAACAAACAAACAAACAAACAAACAAACAAGCAAGCCAAAAACAAACAAACAAACAAAGAAAAAAGAAGGAAAGAAAGAAAGAAGCAAACAAAGAAACAAACAAACAAACAAACAAACAAACAAACAAACAAACAAACAAACAAACAACAATAGCATAGCAATAATGAACATTCACAACAAAGAAAAATATCAGGGAGCACTACTTGGATCAGAAACATGTGTTTTGACATTCGGGCGTGATCGAGTTGCCGCATGCGGGTCTGAACCTAGGTATCTTCTCAACCGGTTTGGATGTTTGACCAAACATCCAAATATACATTGAGCACATATAAACATGCGGGAAAAAGCTTTGGATCTGAACATGTGTGGAGGGTTTGGAGGTGCTGTTTGTTGATCGATCGGCTTTTGGCGGGTGATGAAATCTGGTCATTTGGCGTTCGGGGAGTTTCGAGCTAACTGATGCTGAGCCGGCTCTGCTTTCCTTAAAACCTGGCACGCAGTCACCATTCACTGCAAGGCTCTAATCTTGTGATTGGAACGACAGATTCAATTGTGATGTGTTTTGCGGGTTGGGCGGGGGGGGGGGGGGGGAAATCCAAAGAAAACAAAATTGGATATGATACTGTACTTGATATCATGTTTTTTGCTGCAGTTTGAATCGAAAATCGACAACGAACCCTTGAACTTGATGTGGTGGAATGTTACACCCAGTATCAGATATAGAAAACTACTGCATTGATTGATGAAGCCATATACTCATTTCAGAGGTCGTTCAAACCATCAAGTTTAATATCATCGTACTAAGCTGTTGGTGCGGAGATAAACTTCAAGTTCTAAGACTAGTTGCACGAGACAAGGGTATGTCAGTTTGTAAGCAATCATGATCAAGTACCTTGATTGGTCAATCCCTATTTTCACTTGATTGTTCTAGCTCCAATTCCTGCTTGGACTCTGCGCTTCTCCGATATTGTGTCTTGAGGTGTCCAAGTAAATGCTGAGGTCATGAGTTGCTTTCCTGTTTGGCCGGTGCATTTGGAAAGGCGGTTTAGCAGAAAAAATGATGTTAGAGCAAACAACAATTGTATATAATATGATGTTCTGCTCTAAGCATTTATGTTCCAACATTTCTCCCGGGAATCAAAAGTTGACATTGAGATCACAATTTAACATATTTAAGCCAAACATGCACATGGTTGAAAAAATCATGTGTGCGAAATCGAAGCCTCTGAAGTTCTGAAAGGAATATCCGTACAATTATTCTTGCAATATACGACCCTGAGAGAGTAGAAGAGATACATCCAGATTGAAAGGATGGATTCGTACATGCATGGTTCCGATAATAGACAAGACAGCATGGCGCTCAGGGCGCTGGCTCCTCAAAAAAAAAGCTTGGGACGAAAACGTAGCTCCCACTCCCAGGTCCCCTTACACATCACTTTCTTCCCGACTCAAGGTGTGGAGACAGTGGCAAGCTGCCCATGGCCGCTCCAGCCACTCGAGTCCAGGCCAGGATGACCTCGCCCGCCTCTGCGCATTCGCACAGGCAAATTCGCTGAGGCCCCTGGCAGAGCTCAGCTTCCCAACTCGCAGGTGGGGTCGACAGGAGCCCGCGGCAGGGACAGGGTCAGCTTCATGCTCACCTCGGACGTCGAAAGACGCAGGGCCCCTCCAAAATAAAAAGAGTTTGGGGTCTTCGTAGCTGAAAAAACGCAAGGCCATTGCCCTGCAGCCTGACTTGTTGTGTTGGCCAGCCATGGAAAAGGAGAAATTGGTGCAATGGCTGCTATCATCAATGAATCAATGGCTATTTGAGCCGTGCATGCACCAACGACGCTGGACACCCAACAAGTGTCAGTTCAACAACAACTTGACGCCTGACACCTCCGGTATTCCAAAACTTCCACGTGACGATGACTATAGAGGCTCTTGTTCTCACATCTACAACGCTGAACATAACAGCGTTGCCGACCGAGGGTTAGCTTCGGGCCAAACATCCTGGCTTGACTGTGTTTCATTCTCTTCAATGTCTCCCATGAGCCTTTTCAACGTGTAGCTTAACATGTACTTACATCTCCTGCCTGGTCTATGTGTGTGTGTAGACGTAAGTAAGTAATTAAGTTAATCTGCCATGGGCTTGCATCTACCAATCAGTATGACCGGGATGCCCTGCACGTTCGGAACAACGCGCAGAAACGCATGCCGCCTTGAAGCAGGATTTCTGCCCACGGCCCCAGTTCGTTCGAGAGTCACCAACGTTGCAAAACAGCGGCCGGGCAGGACGTTGCGCAACAGGCCGAACATCAAATAGCACCACAACCGCAAGTGTGCTCACGAAGGCTCGCAGAGACAACCGGAAAAAACTCACAAGATCCACGCAGGCTTCTGGGCCAAACCCAAACACGGAGTCTCGGCGCAACTCAGTCCAGCCAAAGTCAGCCAGCGCCAGCCATCACACGCCGGGCGTGAACGTTTGTAGCCCACCTCCCAGCAAGGGTCAGAGGCTTGGGGCTCAAGGGCGCGCGTCCTAGTGCTAGGTACCGGGATCGAGCCAGGGGCCAGCTCCTGAGTCCGTCGCTCCGATTGGCTCGAGGTCTGGCAATCACTTTGCGCTGAAGCCCCGGATCAGTGCCGTTGCTCTTGTGGTTCCTTGGGGCCTGGCCGGGAGGGGGATCATTTTCGAACACCGATTTTGGATCATTTTCGAACACCGATGTCCTGGATCATTTTCGAACACAGAGTGGGTCATTTTCGAACACATGGGGGGCTATCCTGCGGCAGGTGGGGCAGTTACGTTTGCCTCTTACTGCGTGACCGTGCCACTGCGTCCTGGGGGTGGGGCTGGGGGTGGGGTGGGGCGGTTCCGTTCGCCTCTTACTGCGTGACCGTGCGACTGCGTCCTGGGGCTGGGGGAAGGGGGTAATTGCGATCGCTGCTGACTGCGTGACGGTGGAACTGCGTATTGGGGCTGGGGGGGGGGGTGGGGCGGGGCAGTTCCGTTCGCCTCTTACTGCGTGCCCGTGCAACTGCGCCCTGGGGCTGGGAAGAGGGGGCCCCGAGTCCCAAGTTACCTTGGCTTTTTGAGCTCAGATGTCCTCGACGATTTGCGCTCGTTGGCCCCCGTAAAGCCGTGAAAACTCGGCCTAACGGCCGTAATAACTCGCGCGGGAAACTGAAAGGCCGTTACTACTCCGTGAAAAAGCCGTGAAAACTCGTGAAATTTCAAGCTCTGAGTTATCTTGTCCTCGCAACACAACTCCTTAGCTCATACGGTCTAGGTAACTTGCGAATCGGAGCCTCCTGGAATTGCGATCGCCGCTTACTGCGTGGCCGCGCAACTGCGTATTGGGGCTGGGTGGGGGGTGGGGCGGGGCAGTTGCGTTTGCTTCTTGCTGCCTGACCGTGCGACTGCGTCCTGCGGCTGGGGGGGGGGGGGATGGGGTGGGGCAGTTACTGCGCACTGGTGTTGATGGTGGTGTTGTTGGTAGTGATTATGACGGTGTTGATGATGGTCATGATGATGATGATTATGACGATGTTGATGATGCTGATGATGTTGTTGATGATGATGGTGATGTCGACGTTGATGTTGATAATGGTGATGATGTTGGTAATGATGATGATGGTGATGACGTTGATGTTGACGGTGTTGACGATGTTGATGTTGTTGATGATGATGATGGTGATAATGATGGTGATGATGGTCATGTTGATGGTGTTGTTCATGATGATGATATGGATGTTGGTGGTGATGTTGATGATGGCGATGATGATGTTGGTGTTGATGTGGATGAAGGTGATGTTGCTGGTAGTGATGATGACGATGTTGATGATGATGATGATGGTGATGATGATGATGGTGATGATGATGATGATGGTGATGATGACGATGTCGATGTTGATGATAATGATGATGATGATGACGATGATGATGTCGCTTTGCGCTCCTTGTGCTTTGTGTTCCCGGGGCTACAGTTGACGATTGTCTCCCAAAAGCACGGCGCCATCCATGTGCTACATGTGCATCGTGGTGCGTGTTCGTGCGCCTCATCGTGGTGCGCATGGACACTTGGAAAAATGGCCGTGCTGCTGTAAATCACATACACTTGAGGAAAACCGCGTTCAAAAACGAGCCAAAACACGCGTTCAAAAACGAGCCAAAACACGCGTTCAAAAACGACCACCTTCCCGGCCTGGCCGAGGCAGGCCCTTACACAAAGAACAAGGCGCATAGATATAAAATATCTAAGCACATGTGTATATATTTGCATATATCTCTAAACACACCGACATAAATGTGAAGGCGTATTCGTGTAGAGATAGAGATGTTTGTGGGTATGTGGGTATACACATATAGATACATACATAGATGCATATATAGCCAAACATCCACATGAGAAGATATCTAGATATTGATATCTAGATCTACATATCTATATGTATCAATACAGTCAAGAAAATATGAAGAAGCAGGGAAGGAAGGGAAGGCGCCGAGGACCGGGCAAAGGCCTGTGCCGCAGAACTGAGCAGAAAACAAGCCGAGCACGCCGGAGGGATGCGCGGACGAGTGGCTGAAGAAGCAAGGAAGCGAAACAAAGTAAGCACACCGAGCAAGCTGCGCCGGGCATGCAAAGGCACAAGCCCCCCAGGAAAGAAGGAAGAAGACAACTGGCCCAGCAACATGCAAAAAGAGGGCACGAAGATCTGGGTGTGAGAAAGCAAGTGAACATGATCGCTGCAATCCGGCAATCCTGCAAAAGCCCAGGACAAACCCCCCCCAAAAAAAAAGGACAGGGCCCGAGATCGCAAATACCTCCACAGAGGGAAACCAAAAGGGGAAAAACCGCCCCAGCTCCCCCCACGCGACGCCCAAAGGCCAAGCATAGAACGGAGCAGTCCAGCACAGTAGTCGCCGAAGATGATGCTGGAAGCAGAAGCAGAATTATGCAGTTGCCGGATTTCCCCCGAAACGAGCCTCCAGCTTCTCCACCGTCCTCGTGCCCGCTGGGCTCCGCCATTGCAAATGGCCAAACTCCCGAAACGACACACTCAGTAAGGAAAACACGCGGAAATGGTGAACAAACAGGGCCCATCTACCAAGACGTGTACTTCTATACATTTTGCAAATCTATATACTATGTATCTATATTAGTATAATAACCTACATCTACATATTCCCGAGCCCAGCGGATTGGCAGCGCCCGCCAACCCGCTTTAATGGCAGATGTTTTTTCCCAAATGCGTAGCGAAGGGTTCCCGTTATTAAGTGGGGTCTGGGGGTAAGGTCGTGTTCGCTGGTCGGCTCGCGTGTGGCCGAAAGCGTCCGCAAGCGTCCGAAAGCGTCCGAAAGCGTTTGCATGTGGAAAAAGTTGCCGTGCCATTGGGATTGTCGCAAAAAATGACTTGTCGATGAGTCTTGGAGCGCTGAATTCGTTGTGCCCGTGCGTGAGTCGTGTCTGTTGCAGCGTTGCGAGTTATTTCGTTGCGCAGGCGCATGGAAGGCTGCGTGTTCTCGTTGCCGTGCCATTGGGATTTGCGTTCCAGGGGTGGTCGTTTTGAGGTGTCCTGCTTGGCAGGCGCGTGGTAGTGTTTGCGCCGGCGTCCTGTTCGTTGGCCCTGTCGTACAATCGGCTCGTTTTGGTGAGATTGAAACGTGTCAAAATTGGTCGAAATCATTCTGGCGTCACAGTCCCGCGCTAGTTTCGGATGCGTGTCGTAAACGTGTCAAAGTTGGATTTCGTGGCAGGTGCAGCAGTTTCGATGATTTTGAGATTGTGGCAAGCTTACTTTGCGTGACAGGCGCAGCACTTTCGAGCGCTTTGGTTGAATTTCGTGGCAGGCACGGCACTTTGGAGCTGTTCGTGCAATTTTCGTGGCAGGCGCAGTACTTTGGTGCCTGGGTGTAGATTTCGTGGCAGGCACGTGCCTTTGACTCAGCAAGATCGCTCTTGCTGTGGCACGGTGCACATTTCGAGCGCGCGAAGCAAACCCTCTGCGCTCTTTGGGCGGGTCGAATCGCTCTCGCTGTGGTGCGGTGCGCATTTTGAGCATGCGAAGTGAACCCTTGAGCGCGCAAAGTCAACCCTCTGCGCGCTTTGGGTCGGTCGAATCGCTCTCGCTGTGGCGCGGTGCGCATTTGGAGACAGAAGTTCCGTTCAGAAGCACCGATCACAAGTGTCCAGCACAAGTGTCGTTGAGAAGTGTCGATTAGAAGTGTCGTTCAGAAGTGTCGATCAAAAGTGTCGCTCATCGGAAGTGTCGACAGAAGTGTTGCTCGGAAGTGTCGATCAGAAGTGTTGCTCAGACGACAACCCTTAGTAGACCGCTCATGTGAGATATCGTCTGGCCCCGGGTTTGGCTTAGTACTGGTCAGGGCCAAGATTCGTTTTTTTTTAAGTGCTGGTCTGCCCAACAGGGCCGAGATTCGTTTTTTTAAGTACTGGTTCGCCCAACGGGTCTGGAGGGGTTTCGGATTTTTTTTTTCAAGTACTGGTTCGCCCAACGGGTCTGTGGGAGTTTTTTTTAAGTACTGGCTCGCCCAACGACTCTTAGCAATGGTTCGCCCAACGTCTCAGTTTTCGACATGTGTGCGTGGGGGGCACGCCAACCCACTGAACCTCCACACTCCCCGGGCTCCTTGCTATATGTCCTATATGTGCTATATGGGTCTCACAAGGCAACCCACTTTGAAACGAACCCACTTTGTCGATCAGAAGTGTCGAACAGAAGTGCTGCTGAGAAGTGTTGCTCAGACGTGTCCTTCAGAAATGTTGTCAGAAGTGTGGATCAGAAGTGTTGCTCAGAACTCGAACTGTTGATCAAACGTGTTGCTCAGAACTGTCGATGAGAAGTGTGGATCAGAAGTGTTGCTCATCAGTGTCAATCAGAAGTGTGGTTCAGCAGTGTTGCTCAAACTGTCGATCAGAAGTGTCAATCAGAAGTGCGGATCAAAAGTGTTGCTCAGAAGTGTCGATCAGAAGCCTCGATCAGAAGTGTTGCTGAGAAAAGTCGATCAGAAAAAGTCAAAAGTGTCGCTCAGAAGTGTCAATCAGAAGTGTGGGTCAGAAGTGTTAGTTGCTCACTCAGAAGTGTCGATCAGAAGTGTTGCTCAGAAGTGTCGCTCAGAAGTGTCAATTCAGCAAGCAGTGTTGTTCAAAAGTGTCGTTCAGAAGTGTCGATGAGCAGTGTGGATCAGAAGTGTTGGTCAGAAGTGTTGCTCAGAACTGTGGATGAGAAGTGTTGCTCAGAAGTGTTGCTCATCAGTGTCAATCAGAAGATATTAGAAGTGTGGTTCAGCAGTGTTGCTCAAACTGTCGATCAGAAGTGTACGGATCAAAAGTGTTCCTCAAAAGTGTTGATCAGAAGTCTTGCTCAGAAAAGTCGATCAGAAAAAGTGTCGCTCAGAAGTGTCGCTCAGAAGTGTTGCTCGGAAGTGTCGATCAGACACAGTGTGGTTCAGAAGTGTTGACCAGGTGTCGCTCAGAAGTGTCAATCAGAAGTGCTGCTCAGAAAAGTCGATCAGAAAAGTGTCGCTCAGAAGTGTTGCTCAGAAGTGTCGATCACACACAGTGTGGTTCAGAAGTGTTGACCAGGTGTCGCTCAGAAGTGTCAATCAGAAGTGTTGCTCAGAAAGGTCGATCAGAAAAAGTCTCTCTCAGAAGTGTTACTAAGAAGCGTCGATCAGAAAAAGTGTGGCTCAGAAGTGTTGATCAGGTGTCGCTCAAAAAGTTCGCGCAGTAGTGTCAACTGCTGCTCAGAAGTGTTGATGAGAAGGGTTCCTCAAAAGGGTCGTTCAGAAGTGTCGCTGTTGCTCAGAAGTGCCGCTCAGAAGTGTCAATTCAGCAGTGTTGCTCAGAAGTGTCGTTCAGAAGTGTCGATGAGCAGTGTGGATCAGAAGTGTTGGTCAGAAGTGTTTCTCAGAACTGTCGATGAGAAGTGTGGGTCACAAGTGGTGCTCATCAGTGTCAATCAGACGTGTGGTTCAGCAGTGTTGCCCAAACTGTCGATCAGAAGTGTCAAGCACAAGTGCGGATCAAAAGTGTTGCCTAAAATCTGTTGCGATCAGAAAAGTGTCGCTCAGAAGTGTTGCTCAGAAGTGTCGATCAGAAAAAGTGTGGTTCAGTCGCTCAAGCGTGTCGCTCAGAAGTGTCAATCAGAAGTGTTGCTCAGAAAAGTCGATCAGAAAAAGTCTCTCTCAGAAGTGTTGATCAGGTGTCGCTCAAGAAGTTCGCTCAGAAGTGTCAACTGTTGCTCAGAAGTGTCGATGTTGCTCAGAAGTGTCGCTCAGAAGTGTCAATTCTGCATTGTTGCTCAGAAGTGTCGTTCAGAAGTGTTGAGCAGCAGTGTGGATCAGAAGTGTTGGTCAGAAGTGTTTCTCAGAACTGTCGATGAGAAGTGTGGGTCAGAAGTGTTGCTCACAGTGTCAATCAGAAGTGTTGTTCAGCACTGTTGCCCAAACTGTCGATCAGAAGTGTCAAGCACAAGTGCGGATCAAAAGTGTTGCTCAAAACTCTTGCTCACAAGTGTCGATCAGAAGTGTCGATCAGAAGTGTTGCTCAGAAAAATCGATCAGAAAAAGTGTCGCTCAGAAGTGTTGTTCAGAAGTGTTGATCAGGAAAAGTGTGGTTCAGAAGCGTTGATCAGGTGGCGCTCAAAAGTGTCGCTCAGAAGCGTCAATCAGAAGTGTGGGTCAGAAGTGTTGCTCACTCAGAGGTGCGATCAGAAGTGTTGCTCAGAAGTGTCAATTCAGCAAGCAGTGTTGTTCAGAAGTGTCGTTCAGAAGTGTCGATGAGCAGTGGGATCAGAAGTGTTGGTCAGAAGTGTTGCCCATCAGTGTCAATCAGAAGTATGGATCAGAAGTGTTGCTCATCAGTGTCAATCAGAAGATATTAGAAGTGTGGTTCAGCAGTGTTGCTCAAACTGTCGATCAGAAGTGTACGGATCAAAAGTGTTCCTCAAAAGTGTTGATCAGAAGTCTTGCTCAGAAAAGTCGATCAGAAAAAGTGTCGCTCAGAAGTGTTGCTCAAAAGTGTCGATCAGATAAAGTGTGGTTCAGAAGTGTTGATCAGGTGTCGCACAAAAAGTTAGCTCAGAAGTGTCAATTGTTGCTCAGAAGTATTGATGAGAAGGGTTCCTCACAAGTGTCGGTCAGAAGTGTCGATCAGAAGTGTTGCTCAGAAGTGTCGCTCAACAGTGTCAATTCAGCAGTGTTGCTCAGAAGCGTCGCTCAGAAGTGTCAATGCAGCAGTGTTGCTCAGAAGTGTCGTTCAGAAATGTCGATGAGCAGTGTGGCTCAGAAGTGTTGGTCAGAAGTGTTGCTCAGAACTGTCGATGAGAAATTTCGATCAGAAGTGTTGCTCATCGGTGTCATTCAGAAGTGTGGTTCAGCAGTGTTGCTCAAACTGTCGACCAGAAGTGTGCATCAGAAGTGCGGATCAAAAGTGTTGTTCAGAAGCGGTCGCTCAGAAGTGTTGCTCAGAAGTGTCGATCAGAAAAAGTGTGGTTCAGAAGTGTTGATCAGGCGTCGGTCAAAACTGTCGCTCAGAAGTGTCAATCAGAAGCGTCGATCAGAAAAAGTGTGGTTCACAAGTGTTGATCAGGTGTCGGCACAAGTGTAGCGCGCGAAGTATAGGTTTCTGGAACATCACAACTTTGAAGTGCCAGTCTAGTGCACGAAGTACAGGTTTCCAGCTCCAGCTCGAAAATCGCCACTTTGTAGTACCAGTCTAACGTGCGAAGTACAGGCTTCCAGCGCCAGCTGGAAAATTGCGACTTTGTAGTACAAGTCTAGTACGCGAAGCACAGGTACGCGAAGTCCAGCTCTAGCTGCAAATCACAACCTTGTAGTAGAAGCCTAGCGCACGAAGTACAGGTTTCCAGCTCTAGCTGGAAAATCGTAACTTTGACAAGTCTAGTGCGCCAAGTACGGGTTTCCAGCTCCAGCTGGAAAATCGCGACTTTGTTGTACAAGTCTAGTACGCGAAGTACAGGTTTCTAGCTCTAGCTGGAAAATCGCGACTTTGTAGTACAAGTCTAGTACGCGAAGTACAGGGTTCTAGATCTAGCTGGAAAATCGCGACATTGTAGTACAAGTCTAGTACGCGAAGTACAGGGTTCTAGATCTAGCTGGAAAATCGCGACATTGTAGTACAAGTCTAGTACGCGAAGTACAGGGTTCTAGCTCTAGCTGGAAAATCGCGACTTTGTAGTACAAGTCTAGTACGCAAAGTACAGGTTTCCAGCTCTAGCTGGAAAATCGCAACTTTGTAGCACCAGCTCTCGCTGGAGAATCGCAACTTTGAAGTACAAGTTTAGTGCGCGAAGTGTGCAGGTTTCCAGCACTAGCTGGAAAGTCACAACTTTGTAGTGCAAGTATAGTACGTGAAGTACAAGTTTCCAGCTCTGGCTGGAAGATCGCAACTTTGAAGTGCAAGTATAATACGCGAAATACAGGTTTTGAGCTCCAGCTTGAAAATCGCAACTTTGTAGTACAAGTCTAGTACGCAAAGTACAATTTTTAAGCTCTTGCTGGACAATCGCAGCTGTGTAGCGCAAGTCTAGTGCGCGAAGACCAGCTCCGGCTGGAAAATCGCAACTTTGTAGCACAAGCGCGCGAAGCGCAGGTGTCCAGCTCCAGATTGAAAATCGCAGCTTTGTAGCAACAAGTGGAGCACGCAAAGTGCAGTTTTACAAGCTGACAAACATAGTTTGCGCAGTAGGCTTGATTGCGAGCCCCATTGGCTTATACCTCTAATTATTTTCTTGGGTTTGCGCTGATGTGCATTCGGGTTCGTGGGCTCTATCAGTTTTTTGTTTTTCCGACAAACAGACAGACAGACAGACAGACAGACAAACGGACGGACGGACGCACGGACGGACAGACAGACAGAGAGAGAGACAGAGAGCTGGACAGACACGTAAGATGGATAGGATAGACACGTAAGATGGATAGGATAGGACAGGTAGGACAGGATAGACAGGATAGACAGGATAGACAGGATAGACAGGATAGACAGGATAGACTGGATAGGATAGATAGGATAGGACAAATAGGATACATGGGATACATAGCATCATACATAGGAAAGATAGGAAGACGGGATACATTAGATAGATTAGATAGATTAGATAGATTAGATGGATGAGATTCAATTCAGCTCGACTCGACTTGACTCGACTCAACCGGTTCGGTTCGGTTCGAGTTGAGTTGAGTTGAGTCGAGTTGAGTCGATTCGATTCGATTCGATAGATAAATAGATACCTTTTCGCGTATCCACACACACACACACACGCGATTGCATACATGCACAACATACTGCGTGAAATCACATGTTGATGTAGGAACATAGTTCTTGTCTATCTGCTTATTGATGCACTTCGCTGTTGCAGTTTCTCTCTACTCCCAATGGCTTCAACCACATGTAAGACTGTGCCAATTGTCATGTTGTCCGCATGTTTCTCCGCTCTTGTTTGCGTATTCTTCACCACTTATTGCTCACCACATCACACCCGTTTTGTGCTTCGGGGCGCCAGCCCCAGCAGGAGGCTCACGTAGAAGGCAAGGTACCGCCCCCCCGGCAGCTCGCGCTCCGCCGCGCAGCCAAGGCTCACCAGAGACCCCGAGATGACGGGGCCCAGGCCCCGCGACAGCGCGTTCAGGGAGTTGCACCACCCGTTGATGGAGCCCCGGTTCTCCGCCGAGCACTCTCCTGATGTAAAGCAACAAGGCAATACACATCAATGAACACAAGTTGGATGCTTGAGTGGCTGAGGATGTTGCCGTTCTTCTGCGGTGTCTTTTATACCATCAAGATATGTCCGTTATGGACAACTGCGCAGGCCTTGTGAAATCAGAATCCCTACTTGGAGTGTGGAGTGTAGTGAAGGCTGCCCGACTACAACTGGCTGCCTTCAAGTCATGTAGCCGGGCTTCGGTTCACCAGCATTATGGATAGGGGGAAGGCAGAGCTGAAGCCAATCTGACTCAGCCCCTGCCAAAGGGTGACGGGCACGTAGCGCCAGAAGTGGTAGCGATCGGGATCAGCCACCAAATAGTACCTGGGACAAAGCTTCAACCAGATCTTGGTGGTTGCGGGCCGAGCCTGTGCAGAAGTGACTGTATAATATTTGGAAACCAGCTTGGGGAAAACAACAGTACCATGGGGAGTTAAAAACAAAGCTGGTCGACGATTGAGGTGCTTTGACAAAACAAACTCCAACATATTACAACCCCTGCATGAGCAGTCTCAAGCCAACGGATGCTATAAATTCATTCAGGGTGTCTCAAAAGTGAAACTAAATAAGTCCGTGCATTAAGAGCTGTTTCCCCAAGTGGGGAATAACCGGTTCTAGCAGACTCCTCTGATTAGAATGGCCCTTCCGGTTCAGAGTAGCGATGACGCCGCAAGAAGTTGAGCATCTTCAAGAAACATTGCCTCCAAACACCCCTCGCCTTGTCCCCATATCAAGCCCTCATTTCTCCAATACATGGGTGCACGCAACCAAACCGGAATGCCGTCCCGTGGAGGCCCAGGGGCGCAGGCATTGGCAGAGTCAGCAGAACGGTCCAGGCGATGGCTACCGCGTAGCCCTTGTGGGGCCCGCACTTGCGCACGAGCACAGGGTACACCGTCAACTGGGTGAGAAGGATCATGCACGCCGCAATGACCTGGAAGAATGATCAGCACACTCACAAGACGAGCCAACACATGACATGGTATGGGCACGGCTTGGCTGTTCGTTCCTCTCGCTTGAGCATTGCTTGATGGAAACAGGTGTCCCCACAGTCGTTTCTGGCGTGCAAGCAGAGATGTAAGTAGCAGGTAGCATGGCCCTTGTAGCCCTCTGTCTCCCATGCATCGCAACAGAGGCCCTTGGACAACACAGGACGAACTGGCAGGCTGTTGCTTCCATCCCATCCCCCCTGCACATGTCCCGGTGACAATCAAGTTCTGCAAGCAGGTGGCTTGGAGTGGTTCTTTGATGGTTCACCGGCCCGTTCAAGAATGTTATACCAGCTCAGGATAGCACCTGTGGTTGCCATCTCTGTGCGACCACTTGCACCTGGTTACCACAGAGGTTTGTTTCTGTGCCGCTGGGCTTCAGCAGGGCGGGAAGGGAAGGGCTCCGGTGTGTTTGTTTTTTGGAATCACATATTGAGAAATCATGTCTGGGGTCATGGTGCTTGATTTTCTGAAATCACTAGGGGGCCCGGTGAACTTCCTTTTAGAAACACGCCGGGGGGGGTCCCGACGTTCTTTTTTTGATTTCACGCCTCTGGGCCCTCTTGTTTGTTCTTTTGAAATCGCGCCTTGGGGCCCCAGTGCTTGCTCATTGAAATCGCGCCTGATACAAAAAATTCAAACACTAGGACCCCCAGGCGTGATTTCAACAGAAAAAACACCAGGGCCCACAGGCGTGGAAAACACAACCGAGCCCCCAGGCTGGATCTTAAACAAGAAAACACTGGGCCGCCAGGCGTGATTTCATAAGAAAAAACACGAGGGCCCAGAGACGTGAACTCAAAAAGAAACACCGGACCCCCCAGCTCGCTTCGTCTGCTGTTGCAAAATGAGCAATTTCAAAGAAAACACAGCTGGTGTGATGTCAAAAAACAAAACACCGCATCAAGCGCCAAGGTTCTTCTTGACAATAAGGGGTCCATATCAATTGATCCCTGTTTCCCAAAACATGATGGAAACTACCCCTCCTCAATTATCTGATAAGGGCATAAATAGACACACCTGAGCTGATTTGTTGGTTCCAATATCACTGCAGCGACAGCTTGGTGAAAGCAGTGGCCTAGCCCATCTCCAGGCTCAATCCCCGGGTTCATCACACAAACCTGCCCTCCTGCCCTCCTGCCCTCCTGCCCTCCTGCCCTCCTGCCCTTCTGCCCTCCTACCTGGATGTACCCGAACTGGTGGGGAGTCAGCGCCAAGCCGTTCAGGTCCCGCGGCAGTGAGGACACCAGCACGAAGGCATTCAGTCGGCTGCTCACGTATCCCAAGAGCAAACTGCTGGCCACCAGCAGCTTCCGCAAATGCGGCGTGCGAGGGAAGCCCTGACAGACAGGAACACAGAGCACCCAAGCCGAAGCAACGACAAAGCAGCATAAAAGCCGACACCGCGCACGAGATCCTAAGCATCAAGCATCACTCAAAGCAAAAAAACAACTGATGCTTTGAAGTCACAACAAAGATACGTTTGTTGATGTGAAAGTTCTGGTTCCCGATCCTTGGCGCAATACCACGTTCACAAGATCTGCGTGAACACCATGGTGCCCCGCCTGCCAGGTAGACCTCGCCGCGCCTGCGCCGAGCAGCGGGTCTCTCTGGATCTGCCGGCTCTCGGGCAGAGCCGCGAGGCCCAGGAAGAAGGCCGCCACCGCCAGCAGCGCATAGGAGAGGTTTGCCAGAAAGAAAGGGTGCGTGTCAAACCTGAGAGAAGACAAGTGGGATTGCGTTTGGAGTGATCCTGGGTCGGTGAGGGTCTGCGGTTGTCCCCCTCCCGAAGGTCCAAATGCCAAACCACTAAAATGGATAATGCAACCTCAACACTCATGTTCCAATGCACCAAGAGGCTGAAGTTTACAATATCCTCCAGAATTACACGGTTGCCAGCCGATGTCTACTTTTTGGAATCAACTTCCTGAATACGACGGTAAAGCTATCGCAAAAAGTGGAGCAATGAATCTGCATGTGTTGTGGTACAAAATGTGTAACATCAAATAAGTATCCTCATGAAACAAGCTTGTGTAGCAAGCTTGTCTCTCCCTCGCCCAAGGGTCAGCCCAGGGGCACGGTGCCCGCGAATAGCTGCCAGCGCCCTGGGTACGCTAGGAGCCCGCCCAGCATCGGGCCAATGAAGAGCCCCAGAGAGAAGGTGGAAGAAAGGATGCCGAAGGCCTTCAGACTCAGTCTCACAAGAAAGGCCCTTGCCAAACTGAGAAGGGGTCTAGAAGGCTCACTGCCTGCCCGGAGGGATGGCTGGATCCCTTCACCCCTAAATTGAAACAAAGAAGTTTACTTTCGAATCCCCTCCAAACAAAAACAAAAGCGCAACTGCAGAGCATTGAACACCTCCTGTGAAATAAGTGGTGCCTTGAATTGAGGGAGGGACTATCCCAACTTGGCGGCTAAACTGGCGATTGAAAGCAAGGGCCCCTGCTCTTGTTTCTAGGAATGGGTAGCGAAACCACACCACGTCGCAACAGCAGGCTCCCTGATTTGGTTTCAGAAATGTGGGTGTTGCTGAATGCTGATACTCGTGCTGATGCTGTTGCTGCTGCCGTTGCTCTTGCTCTTGCTCTTGCTCTTGCTGTTGCTTTTGTTCTTGCTCTTGCTCTTGCTCTTGCTCTTGCTGTTACTGTTGTTGCCGTTGTTGCTGCTGTTGCTGATGTTGTTGAACCATGGCAGTCTGTAGCCCATATCCGCCTGAGCCTCGTTGGAGCTATCCACCAGCTCACCCAAGTATGTCCTGGCCACTCCAACGTTGCCGCAGAAGAAGCCTGCGCTGCTCTTGGCTACCGGCTGATTAGCTAAACAAACCACACATCTTCAAGTGTCCGAAACTCAACATCAACAATGCAAATCACAAATTCTCGGAACTGCCAATGAACTGGACACGCGAGACCAACAAGGCGCAAAACGCCCAAAGCCATAAGCCCAAGCCACTTTACGGCTTAAACAAGCTCGGGACGGCAAATCCCAGTTGAGGGCCATGCAAAAGGAAGAGTTGCAAATCAGGTCAAGGCAGCCATCCAGGATTCGCGCAAAGAGCGCCACCGCCAGACTGTCGGCGAGGCCGAAGATCAACGGTGCCACCGCGGAGCCCGCGAGGCCCACGAGGAGCACTGGCCGGCGGCCCACGCGGTCCGCCAGCATGCCCCACATCGCAGAGAACGCCACCTGGGTCTCGAGACCCAGAGGGTTGCGACTTTGTCACAGGAAGAGAAAGAAGAGAAGGAAGAGAGCGAAGAAAGGCAAGAAAGGCAAGAGAGGGAAGGGGCAAGGCGCGGTTCCCCTGTGGGAGTTTGAGAGCGATGGTTTGAGCCACTGCGGATGCAATTGATGTTAAACCCCCAAACTGACCGATTGAATTCTTCACCCCCCTCTGCGTGTTAAAGGGGCCTTTCACAAAGCAGCCAAACAGAACCACAACAGAGGGAAAACGGTCGGAGTAACATACTGCACATGCAAATCCGTGACGGATGCGTTTTTAACGCCACCGCCAGGTTGACTGTCGGCCACTGCCGCTACTGCCACCCCAAGTGCTCCATCCATCGTTGGACCAGTCTGCTAATCTGAGCTTCCCCACTGCTCGCCCTCGCGGGCGGCGCTCCACGGAATTCCGGCAGCACGCTCATTTTGGCGGAAAATCCAGTCCAGTTCACGACGGAGCTGATCTTCATTGGTGCCGCTGAGGTTCATCACTCCATTCCAGCAACCAATACTGCGGGGCTTGTCTTGCTCGAGAACGACCTGTGTAAACGCTCGAGGCGAATACGGCATGCCCTGAAACATAATAATCCACCTTGACATCAGTGCGTCTTTCAGCTGCGGGACCATGAACTCGAGCTCTGTCTTGATGCACGCGAGCGTTGCGATTCGCGTGTCGGAAGTCGATCCCAACCCAACACCAAGAGTCCTTTGAGCTTGCGACTGCTTCGGAGCTGCGAGCAACAGATTTGCTGAGAGCTCCATCTTGAGCATATCCACCTCGCGGCGTCCGACTTCAATCATACGAACGCGGTACTGCGTGTCCAGCTCGCACCGGTCCATCAGCGAGTGGTAGCCGTTCTTCAAGGCAGACTTCAGCTTCTGTCTGCCCTCCTGGATGACCGAGCTGTCTGGGGTGTTCAGGCCTCTCGCAAAGCTGATACGATCCTCCTTGCGGAGGTCGGACGTTCCCACCGATGCCAATACCTGAGCTGTAATGTTCGTGCTCAGGCCCATCTTTTTCAGGAGGTTGGAGCGCTGCTTGATGCAATTGCGCTGCTGGTCCTTCAAAAGGCGTGGGTTAAGAGGGGAGAGTTGTCCGCACGTAGTGCAATTTATCTGCCCCTCGAAGATGTCATTGTTGCAAACAGGACACTTGGCGATCTTCAACTCCACGTTCTCCGTGGGATTGAAAGTCTTCTGCCTCTTCGCTTCCCCTTGCGGGGCGCGAGGTGAGGCGGTGTTCGTCCTGGTCGTTGCAATGCGTTCCAGGGCCGTGGTGCGGTCGTCCACAACCGCCTGCTCCCTCTTCATGCCACTGCGAGACCTAAAGCAGACTCAGCTGCATCCGATTGCTCGGAGCGCGTGTACCAAACATCTCCGTTGGTGGCGTCCAAAACAGAAAGGATGGTATAATTGGGAACTTTGTCCCTTGTCAAAATACCGTCACTCTCGGTCTTGAAGAAACTGAGCCCTGCACGGATGGCCATCCTGCAATCGCTCGACCTCCGGAAATATAGTTTTCGCAGGTACTGGGCTTGTCAGCGAAGTACACGTGCGTTGGGTTCTAGCAGCATGCCTAAGCTTCTGGGAGTGTCCTTGCTGCAAAATGGTGATCGTGGCTTGATTGTCCTCCATCAACTTGACTTTCCATTTGTCGCTAAGGTGCGCAGTTAAGGCATTGAGATTTGCTACGCTAGTGCCCGCATCGACACTACCGATCGAATTTCATCTAATTCGGGGTCAATGCAAGCAACAATGCCATCGGGCACGTCAAGCAAGGCTTTGCTGGCCTTTTGAGCATACCCGTGCGCTTCCTAAAGGAACAGACTGAGCTGACAGAAAAGCGACAAAGTTGGGAGGCCTTCTGCCCTGATCCTACAAGTATCATAGCGCAACCAGTAGTACTATGCGAGTCGTATTCGCCTGCCCAGTCCGCGTCAGCGAACAACCACAACCTACAATCGGAAAACTTGTCCCCAATAAACCCCCGCATTTTGAGATCCTTCGAACAGTGTATATAGGACACAAGTCGATGAAGAGCGTTGTCGCACTCGGTGGACCATTTGCTTACGCGCGAGGCGATGCTTTGTGTGGCTCTTAGCAGGTCATACCTAGCCATGCGGGCTGCGAATAGAATCTTCATGAATACCTTTGCTGCTACGGGTTGTAGCCTACCCTTTGGTTCCTCTTCACTTACGACAGGTCTCGCGACCTTCGAACCGATGAATGGAGCACTGACCTTGCTCAACGATGAGACGTTTACCTTGGCAAGTTCACAATATGCGTCTACGCATGATTTGAGGAAATCAGACATGTCGTACTCAACAATGCTGACCTCTTTTGTCAGGCAACCTACGGGTTTATCGCATATGCTTTCAGGCCCTTTGAACTTAGAACCCTTGACTTCTTTCTTAGCCGCGGTTTTCTCTTTAATTGAACCAGGTTTTGAGGGCAGAGCACATTGCAGCGCTGAGCTATGGTTTTCACCATAGGAAAACACGGTACGTCGGTCCACCACGCGGTGTCCGCAGTGATGCGATCACTTGCGTGATGCGACCACTCATCGCCAATTGGGCTTATCTTGGATTCATTCTTGATTGTCACACGCTGAGGGTCAAGGCTGCGCGCGAATGCACTCATCGGCTCTTTAGGACGGAAAAGGCTCTTCCTGGGCTGCAAGTGGTAACGTGTCCACGTTTTGTTGTCTACGTCATGCTCCCAGTAGTCCTCAGTCCTCTGTTGAGAGCAAACACCCGCGTGTTGCGTGACACCTTCAAACACATGTGGTTAAAAGGGCGCTCCTCTTTTGACAATCTTACATTGTTCTTTTCGACATGATGACACCCAAAGTATCGGCCGAATGGCTCGGGCGCGTCGATCTCAACGACCTTCACGATCAAATCCCATCCGTTTTCAAGGCTACCGGCCGGTCCTGCGAGATTGAAATCATCAACGTACACAACGAGCAGGAGATCAAGTTCCGGATGATGGAAAATTGACGTCCATATTTCAGGCAGCACTCTGACGAAACCTTGTTTACCGACTTCAAGGTGCTTTTCCCAAAGCCCCCCTATATCTGGATGTCCATACAAGGCTAAAACGAGTGGAACGATGGGGTCAATGTATTGCTTGCTCCAGTGGCTACGCCATCTGTTCTTTGGCAGTCTGAGCCAAGTGGGAACACCTTTGAACAGGGCTTGAATGTAGGCTTGCTTCGCATCGGCTTGCGCCTTGCGGTAGCCGGGCTGTGACCCGAAAGCGTCAAGGATCTTTGCTGCCTCCATTGACGCTGGGCTGGACCCTAGCTCCGCAAATAATGCTGCAACAGAATTTTCGTCATACACATTGTTCCCTTGGAAAACGGTTCGTCCTTTGAACTTCTTGTTAGGATCATCATCGGGAAGCTCACTACCCTTTTCATAGCATGCTTTGAAGATCCTACCAATGTGAACCTTTTCCCCTTTGTTCTGGGCTTCTTTGATGACTCGTTCATTTACTCTGTTCTCGTCCCAAACGCCTTTCTTTCAAAGGTTTTCCCAATCCTTGTCAAGAGCAGCTTGGGCCTTAGGCGTGTTGGCTACTTCGGCCTTTGGCACCAGCCTTGCTACGACTGCACTGAACAGTTCGAGAGCAACATCAAATTCAATCTTCTTGAGTCGCTCTTTGACCAACTCGCGCAGTTGCGGACGACGCTTCTCTTGCGTTGGCTTGTCACGCTACGGAAGGACCGGCGTCACAGGCATCGTTGGCTCGCCCTCGCGGGCAGCGGCGGTTGGCTTTGCACTGGGTGCAGCATCGGGGTGCTCGGACCTGGCCTCGGAGGACACAGTGGTCTCGATCACAGCCTTCTTGGCATCTGCACGGAGCTGCTCTTCATACTGTTGGGTTAGGGCTTTTGATCCTGGCTGCCGAGCATGACCCACATGTCGGACGGGATGTCTGGAGGCCTCTTGGATCCGGCCTTCCTGCGGACAAGTCAAACCCCATCCCACATGTATTCATCAGGCACGGGCGACCCATCAGGCATTCTGCTTGGATCAAATGTGCCACTCTTCTCAGACATGACAGGCTTGACCTTCGCTTCGGATTGCTCCGATGCTCCTCGATCAGGGCTTGCCCACGTTCCAGCGGCACAGGGTCACTTTGTGCTTTGGCATCAGAAGGGTCTTCCAACAACCTCATCGGGAAGATGAACTCATCCGAATCGGTATGTCCTGAGGCCATGAACATGCGTTTTGGGAGGGCCAAGCAATCTGAGTTCTTGGCAGTACCCCAATGGTGGATGGTTCCGCAGAATGAGCGGATTCTGGGGCATACGTAGTGAACGACCTGAGCGCGATACAAGACAGTGGCAAGTCGCACGTGCAATCCAAGGCAACGACTTCGATCCCGGGCTGGGGAGTTGCGACTGCAGACTGGCGTCCGACTTGGCCAAGTTCTGTACCAGCAGCTCGTTTGCACGAAGGGCCTGTCAGGACGAAGCAAGGACTCTTAGTGCACAGCCAACACATGTAATGGCTTCACGCTTGTTGTGATGCATGCTGAGTTGACCATGGACCATTTCGAACTTCGAGGCGCCATTTGAGAAAATTGTTGCATGGGCATGAATCATGCGCTTTGTTTGCTGTACCGTGAGGGACGCGTGTTCGATATGATAATCGAGCCCTTCTAGCTTTGCAACGAGGAATTCAGCTTTCCATGCGAACCCAGGCTGAATGTGGTACCCGAGAAACACGCCTTCGTTTGACGTTGGCGAAGTCTTGCCTGCCTGACTGTCAGCTCGCGCTGGGTTGTTCCAGAACCGTATCTTTGCTCCAAACGGTATCTCAGCCTCGTCAAAGGTCTTGTGAAACCTGAGATACCATGGTGAATCATGTCCATTCAATTGTGGCAGGATGTTGGTTGCAACTGCATTGTGCTGAATAGCAAAAGGCCACATCGACAGTGGGAATCCTGACTGAACAAAGGTTCGCTCGTGCTCCCTCCAACAAATGTCTGATTTCCCTTTCCACGAACGATTTGGAGGAATCGACATATTCAATGGAGGTTTGGTGACGATACCCCAACTGCTCTCTGGCGGCCTTCAATTCCCGGGAGTTATCGGTATAGAGAACCTCAACCTCGTCCCTTCCAGAAATGAAGTGCTGGAGCCCTGCAACGGATTGCTCCGTGCTTTTGCTGGTCGATGGATACACGTACCTGAACTGCGTACGTCCTTGATCACAAGAGCACACCAATCACCTTTGACTCCGGGCTCTATGTTGGCCTTGAGAATCACGTGATCAGCAATGATGTGATCTCCAAATGCCTAAGTCTCGAGCCTTCCCTGCCCACAATTTGGATCTAGCATGTGGGGCAAGCATCTTGGCACGCTGGCATGTGCGGCAAAAGGGAGTGCGCAAACAAATGTTCTCCTCAGCAACCAGGTCTTGCTCTTTGCGGGATCTCACAAACCGCTCAACTTCATCATCAGGGTCATCACCTTCGTCGATGCCTTTGTCATGAGCCGGTTCAGGCGCTGGCTTGGAGGCAGCCGCTGCACTCAACGTGACTCCGCTTCGCAACTGGAATCCATGTATGGCACATGACCATCAACCTTGAGCTGGATCAGGGCACCATCCGGGCGAACCATGGTTGGTGCCTTTCCGGACTCCCAGTGAAAGGAGTATCCTTGGCCCAAGCACTTCACACCCAACGACAGCACTGCAGGAGAGCTTTCAAGGATGTAAGGCTGCGCAGGCACACAATGCATCGACACTGATGTCGGCGATTTCGGAAGGCTTACGGACCGCTTTGGCTGCATTCCTCAAAGCAGCTTTGCAGATGAGGTCCTGCTCACTGCCGGAATCAATGAGCCACACGTCCTTTCCCTTTGGGACGGGTGTGGCAGCCCTTGGCGCTTTGACATCCTTGCGGACATCGTGAGGCGGCATGGCAACTCCCAAGCACTCGTCACAAGACAGGCTTGAGATGGAATCGGATTCCACATCACACATGAAACCACAAGCGGGCTGGGCCCCATTCTCAATGGCTTTGATCACGGCATTCAACTGGTTCGCGGCCTTGCGCGCTGCCTTATTCGTCCCTTTGGGGGGCTTAGGGCAGACTGGGAAACATCCTGTACTGCCGGTCCTCATATTCGAGCTTGAAACCCTCACCTTTGGCGGGAATCTCATGCACATGAGCTTTGGTGTCAAAAGACACTCCTACCTACCGGATTGATCGGCTTTGCAAACATGGCGTACCTTGCGCAGACTGCAGCGGCTTTGGCCTTCGGCTTAGGCTTCGGTGAATTTGCACGCTTCTTAGCTGCTGGGTTAGCGTTGGCCTCATTGCTCGACGCCGCAGCGTCACACTTGCCGCCTGTGGAGGCATGGCTAAACTTGCACTTGTCACCTCTTGCGCACTTTCCTTGCGCAAAGAAAGAACACGGTGGCTTGCCTCCCTTGTTGCCTTTGGGGGAACTTGTTCTGCCACGGGTTGCCGAGCGTCCTCGCGGCTCCTTGCGGTGCGTGTAAGGGCAGTTTGCCCCCCTCGTGCACGAGCCCTTCTGGAAGTCAAAGCAGTACTTCTCCTCGGCATCCTTAGGCTTTGGTGCGCTTTTCTCTTTAGGGCCCTTCTTCTCAGGAGCTGCAGCACCAGCCTTGGGCGTCGGGGCTTTACTGGCATTGACCTTGGACACGCGCTCTCGGCCTATCCCTTTAATTAGATCCCTCGTGCAACGCATCAAGAAATCATACGACTTATTGGGGTCATCATCACAGCAACGATCATATGCGTCAATGTCATACCGCAAGAGATGGCAGCTTCTCACTTGGCGAAGCAGAATGTCTTGCGACACTTTCTCTTCGGGTGGCTTTTTCATACCGGCAATGACAGAACCCCAAGCGTTCAGGAACCGCTTGAGATCAATGATCCCTTCGCCTTGTCGCGAGACACGCAGCAGATCCGTCTTGAAATATTGGTCACGTCTGGTCGGTCGGACGCGGCACGGACGTCTTCACGAACTGACGTTTTCCATTCACGGTACGTTTCAGGAATTGGCATCTCCTTGGATCGCAACATCTCGCTTTCGCGAGTTCTGGGCTTTTCGTCGCTCGTGTGACCCTTTACCAACTTCATTAGCATCTTGGCGAAGGCTTCCTGCCCAAGGTTGGCCCGACGCCATCACCTTCATCTGCATCACCTTCACCATCGCCATTCCCATCATCACCGGGCGGCGGACCGCCAGGAGGCTTTCCTCCCTGCTTGCGGTGTTGGCATTGGCAGGTGGCATAATGCTGGGAAAATACTCAACTTCGTAGCCATCATGAGCAACAAGCGACCTCAACTTTTCCTTTGCATAGTGAAATGGATAGGACAACGGGTCCAACAGAGACTTTTGCGACCGAGCTGATTTCATGTCGTCGGACATCAGTTCTGGCGAATCCTCTCGGGTATCGCCTGCCCCTTTGGCCTTCGATCCCTCCTTGCGGAGGTTGTGTTGCTTGAGGTGCTGGTTGAGCTCGTCAAGCTCCTCCTGCAGAAGCCTGTTTTGGGAGGCCATCATGTCAGCGTTCCTGGCATGGGTCGCTTCAACACGTGCGATGTCGTCAGCATGCTTTGCAGCTTGCTCCTGGAGGAGCTGCTGAGCATCCGCCAGGGTGACTTCGAGTTTTGCGTCTCATCTCCACTTCATGCATTGCTTGGGCATTTTCCTCACACACATGGCTTATCCTAGCTTCAGCGTGATTCACTTCTTGATTGAGCTCATCGCTCACTCGCTGTTCGTATTCACGAATCCTTTGCGACTGGGCTTGCACACACTCAGCGTAATGTGCATGCAGCTGATTCTGTGCGACACGGAGCTCCTCACGGTTTCTCGCTTGCAAATGCATTACAGCTGCTTGATGCAGGGCTTTGGCTTCAGACCTAATGGCTGCATCATTCCCAAAAGCAAAAATCGCGGCATTGCACAGTTGAAGGGAATTCATCAGGGTGCGGTTGTGCTGCATTCATGCTGGAGGCAAAAAACGCGCGCACCGTTGCCGGCGGCGTGGTTGGAGCTTGCTCCGGCTGCGTCCACAGGCATTTCAGATCCATCAACTGGCACAAGGGAACCGGCCATTGCTTTAAGCTAGGGCCCTACGGCAGATAACCTATAGATTCTAGGGTTGCCGGTTTGGGGCCCAAAAGGAAACAACAAACCGTCCAAGTGCGCTGCTCGCACATTTTCTCGCTTGAACAGCCACACTGCGGATGCAATTGATGTTAAACCCCCAAACTGACCGATTGAATTCTTCAAAGAGTATTTGTTTCACAGCTGTTTGGCAAAGGGACCTCGCAAATGGAGTAGGAGCCCACCAGCACGGAGACCCACATGGCCACCTCCGGACTCCCGCGGCTCGTGTGGAGAAGCCTGGAGACCATGTCGTCCACATACGGGTTCCTTGCAGTGCGCGAGTCAATAGCGAGCCCTCTGCCAAAACAGGTTTTCGTTGCTGGCTGTCCACAGCGAGTCGCACGGCAGGGAGTCGCGATGGGCTGGAACGCTCAATTCCGGCACCCAATGTTTACTCTCTCTGTTTATTTTCATGAACGGCACGAAAACAAGCCTTTGTAGGTTCAGCTCTTTTGAAAGACAACACCTTGTAATCTGAACTGGGAAGTGAACTGTTCTAACTTACTTTAGTGGAAGTCCAAGCCTTACAGGTGAACATCAACGTGGCGATTCCAAAGGATGCCTCACGAGGCCTGGACATGGTCGAATCGGGCAACATGATAAAGTTACAAAGACCTTAAGTTTGGATCATGGCGAAGACTTGGAGTTGCGTTGCAGCTTGCCAAATCCCAAAAGCGATCTACCCTAGAGACTTGCGATGCGCAACATGTGGCATTAGATAGATTTGGGGGTGGAGAGATTTGCCTCTTGTGAGTCCGGGGCCGCCGTGGGTCAGAAGTACTTTTGTTTGTCCGTCCTGAGATCCGGGCATCTAACCAAACATCTTGTTCAACATACGTCAGTTTTGTCGGCGCATTCCTGCATGCCCTGAAAATGAAGTTGTGGAAGGACCCCCGAAATTTGAGATAATATCCACGGCCCAGATTCAAGATTGTGGCATTGATGCAGTCAATCAGGCAGATGCAGCATAGCACCGCCAGGCTCTTCCATGGCAGCGGCGTCCGCGGCGTCGAGCCGGTCATGCCGGACCTCTCACTGGGTCATGGCATGCGAAGGTCGACTCTTTGCACACCTACCCCCGCACACTCTGCTTATTCTGTTTCTTATGGGAAGATGCAAGTTGTCCAAGAAGGATTTACCTGCGCAGCTGTTTGTGCGCAGGGACAAGAGCCTACACTGAGAGACAGGAGTTTGATGCCTAACATGGGCGAAGATATGCTCGACCATCTTCTTTGCCAGGCAAGCTTGCAATATCCGCGAAAGCGAGGCTCTGCATGTTGGAAGCTGGACAATTTCTGGTCACAGAGCAGAAGCGGCTGCACGCAATCACATCCCACCCAAACAATTCATGTGGCAATGGTCCCCGGAGACTTGCAGAGGGAAGTATACTAGGGAGCAGAGGTTGACGTGCAGGAACAGCAACAGCTTCGTCGCCGCAAGGGTTGTGGCATGGAAAGTCCTGGTGAGTTTCCGGGACGGTCCGGTACTGCGCTTTTTGTACCCAGTCCGCTTTCAGACCCCTACGAGCAAACCAGCAGTCGTGCCGCTGACCTGTAACAACTCAAAGGAACCCATCAAAAATCAAAATTTGCAGAAACACTGAATCACCACTCACAATTGGAAGACAGCATGATAATGAAAAACCAAGCACAGACATCAGTAGACCAAAACCCTTCTGGCACGCACCAATCCTCTAGCTAGTAGGTCGCAGCCTCGCGCACCAATCAAAACAAACACATCCATGATTCATTGAGCGGAAGGCGCATTGCTTGCTCTGTTGCACTCAAAGGGGACTCTGTCTGAGGCGACTTAACTCGCTGCTCCAAAATCAGCACGATCCACACAAAAGTATTTTCCTTCTGGCCTTCTCAAAGGGAAACCCAAAAAACGAGGTCCCCCCCCCTTTCAGATTCTGACTCCAGCCGGCCCCGTCCACACACCCCGCCAGCGACGCCACAGTTGCGGCCTCCAGCGCTCTGCCCAGAACAGCCGTGGAGTTCTGGCGGCTCAGCAGCCTGGGAACAGACCCGAGGGGCGCGTAATGGGCGCAGAATCAAAGTGATGTAAGTCCAAGAAATGGAGCCAGTTCAACACCAAGTTCAAAACGTGACGTGACCCGTGAGCACACCTCCTTATACTTCGACTTGTAGGAACCACACCTCGCTGACGCCTTCCGGTTGCCTCAAGTGCACGGCACTTATTTGGATTGTCAATTTATGCAACCTAAGCCAAGGCCGTCCTAACGCCACCGACTTGCAGGTTTGTTGCGCAGCTTGAGCTCAGGCCCTGAGAGCAACCTGGGGTGAATGGTGGATTCCTGCAACCGGATTCAAGTTGACGAAGGTTTGCCTCGGAAAAAAAAAAAAAACACAAGGGCTGCCGAAACACACAACACACGCAGCACACGCAACACACGCAACACACGCAACACACGCGCACAAACACAGCATGCAGCCTGCAGCCCTTCCAACAACCAGGCCGCCCACCTCTGGGAGATGCCGGCAGCCACCCGCTCTTGCCACTCCTGACACAGAGTACATCAACATAGGAAATTACAGTCCCAGAAACGTTACCCTAGGCTTCACAACTCCCCAATCAGCCCTCTCTTTCTGTGTCTCTGTTCTACTCTTGCCAGCACACAGTTCTTTCAAACATTGTAGGTGGGAGGCGGTACCACATAGTTTCACCACATAGTTTTCGTTGTCATGCCATAAACCAGTCAGCAAGCCTTGAGAAGTTCAACCTGACTGTGGCAAGACGAACTCTTTGACAGCCAAACACAGGCGGAAACAGCTGCAACAACAACTCCCCTGGTTCCTGTTGCTCTGAAGGAAAGGCTGACCCCAACTAACCAAGGCCAATGCCAAAGGTTTCTGGGTGACATGCGGCTTGAGTACTGTACTGTCAACTTTTGACGTAGCAGAAATCTGAGACCGGAAGAACGCATCTACCATTTCGCACTCAAATCGTAAAGCTGCAATTTTGCACCTTGGCGCGAGCAGCCACAGAAACTGGCTCATTGTCCATGTTCTCCTGCGGCAGAAGAGGATTCCAAACTTGTACACTGGCTTGGCATGGCGTGCTTATTTACTCGTGCAAGGAGACTTGAATTGCAAACCATTCATAGGCCACCAATTCATGCAGTTCCACATGGGCGGGCGGTGACGGAAAACCGTTCTCACTTGCAGTATGTGAACAGGCCCCAGCAGTCTGCAAAAGTCTTTCTCTTGATATCGTCCACGAAGAATGGCTGTCACAAACATAGCAGTCGCCATTTAGATTTCGAGATCAGGGATTCAAAGACATCTGACGAGAACGTGCAACGGGAAAAGGATTGAAATGTGACCCCCCTCCACCAAGACAGGCCTTGTCCACTGTCAAAGTGACGCTAAGCAAGTCTGCGCCCGCAGAGGATGACTCTGCATGCACCTCAGGAAAAGTAATCGAATGATGGGTTCACAAATTTTTGCTAGAGATGCTTTCCTTGCTGGACTTGGCAAGGTAATGCTGCGAGCTTCCCCTCTTGTCACACTGTCTTGCGAGTTTCCTGAAGCATCTGCATGCAGTGCAGGGCCCACGACACACTGAGCGGGCGGCAGCTAAATTGTTGCCGATGGCCAGGGCTTTCACCTGCACATGGCCATTCGGATGGCCATCCTCTCCATGCCACTTCAAATGTGTCCCACCATGCGCACTGCGCATCCCAACATGGCCAAAGCATGCGCAGAGCGTGCCGTGAAGGTGTCGTCGGAGCCCCGGAGCGGGTGGAGATATTCGAACCTCGGAGAGGCAGCCTCCTTTGGAGGGCGAGGTTTGGTTTTACCTACCAAGGATGGTGTGTTTTGCTATCTCAAATCTGCACCCTTGCCTTGTAAATCAACTACATCACATCGCCGAAACTGGTTGTCCCGAAATTCTGTGTTCAGGTTGCACGGCACCCTGACGCACACAGCGCATCGTTGCTGAACGGCCGGGATAACTCTTCGCAGAACGGCTTAAGTGCTGCCCTTGTGGCAGCTACTGGTACAAACCCTCCTCGGCTTTGCCGAAATCAGCCGCAGGAATCTTGCCAGGGCTGGGTTTGGAGCAACTGATTTCGGAACCAAACTAGAAACAACAACTGCTTCTACAAGATGGGACTGCCATGTACGTGATACGTTGGTCCTATACCCGTGGGCATGTAGTACCACAGCAAAGCCTTGTCCTTTTTCCCTGTGTGATTCCGTGCAGCTGGCGCAGCTCGGGCACTGGGGGATCCCCGGCCCAAGCCTTCAAGCGAGGCAGAAGCGCCATTGTCACCACTTGGTGGTGAGCAACCGGACAACTTTGCAAGTTTGGAGCTGCAATATTGATGTGGAAACTGATAGAAACCACTTCTCCACCACTCGGGGATCTTTATAATCCCCAGTTGCCCTGGCGCTTCCGCTGATTCGGAGATTGCGACTGAATGCGCGTTCGCGCATTGCGCCTCTCACATCAGGCTCATGCCCCGGGCTCCGCGGCAGGCCAAGTCGGCCAAGACATTGGGCGCGAGGCGCTCCAAGACCCGTTGGGCGGCGCAGCGGACGCGCAAGCTCTCGTCCAGCTTGCAGCGCAACGCCTGAGTTGTCGAGGCACGGATCAAACATACGTACCTACTTATAAATGTATACATACATATAAATATATATGGCGCAGCGTCCCTAAACCCCCCTCCCCCCCCACTCACCTATGGTCCCAGATCATACAGGTAGCCCCCTCCCCCTCGGCTGTGGTCCTGTGGTCCTGTGGTTGGGTTGTGTTGCAGTGTTGGTTTCGGATCTGGGGTCGGTTTGTGGTTTTAGGTTTGGTTTAGGGTTGGATTACGGCTTGGTGTTCGTGGGTTGGGTTAGGAGGGGCTTAGGATTGGTTTGGGGTTGGCTTGGGGCGGTTTAGGGTTGGTTTGGGGGTGGTTTTAGGGTTGATGACGTGGTTCCGGGGTGGCGGGTCCTGGAAGGGGGGGAAGTGGTACACTGTGACAACAAAATGCTGCTATTGGCACTTGCTTTTCTAGCGCATCCACGTGACTCAAGGCCTAGAAGGCAGCGGGCAGACGTCTATGACACATGCAAGACTCATGGGCATGTGAAATGATTCCGCGACTTCAGGCGGTTCTCGCCTTGCCTGCCGCGGTTCAAGACTTTGGCCTCTTCCTCGATCACGAGGCAGTTGCTCTTTAGCAACTTCAGTGAGCCTTGAGCTTCGTGAGAGCATCTGCAGGGTTGAAGTTGCGCGGAATCCACCTCATGCGTCCAGAGAGCTTTGCGATGCTCTCTTGGATGATTCCAATCTCCAAGGCTGACCTGTCATCGTCGCCTTGAGCTTGCTCCGAAGCCGATGCATTGTACAAGCTTTTAGCATCTGCCACAGCAACCTGAAGTTCACGCTTTCGGATGCTATGACCGTGCCAGGTCCTCGAAGCCCCATCTGTACCTCCTCGGACACCGCCACAGCTGTTTCCCGAGGATCGTACTTGGACTTGCAAAAGCTTCTCCACACCGCCACCTGTTTCTCCATCGCTCCCAGCGCCGTCGAGAGTGCTATGGATTCGCAAAGCAGCGTGTTGCCTGCTTTCCGACGAAGTCGCCTCGATTTCCAACTCATCAGGCTTACTGGAGCAACTTCTCCACGATTCAACTGCGGTGTTGTAAGCGCTTGGATCCATCCATGCTGACGTTTGACCTTGCCCGTGGGATCATAGGAAGCGTCCGAAATCACCACGTGCCGAACTTGCTCTTCGGGAATGTGATGTACCTTCAGCACCACGTGGTGATTCTTCAGATGGTCCACCACCTGATTGGTTTCCAGAACATGCTGCATCACGGGCTTCTCGCAAACAACCGGAGAGAATGCTTGCAGCTGCTGAGACGTCAGGACGTCCCTCACGTGCTATCCAATTGATGGCTGCTACCACTCCTCGCAATTGTTGGATCTCGTCTTCCTGTAAGCAAGTGGTCAAAGCGTCCTTCTTCAGATACTTGCGCTCCACCCGAACATACTTCAACCTGTTCTTGATGTAATCCGCCATGCGGACTTGGGAGCCACCGAGGTAGTTTGTCCCGAACCCGCATCTGCTGCATTGAAGTCCTCGAGCAACACTGCGAAGTCCTCGGTCGGCTTCCATCGATCCACGAACCTTGAGGTAAGAACACGTTCAGGATGTGCTTGTGTGAAAACCAGGCTCCTCGATCGACAGCACAGTGATCGCGCCGCTGTCCGCCAGAGATTTGAACTCCTTGGCTCTGGCTTGTTGGAACGTTTGCTTCTCGCTGTTCTGCAACTTGGCGAATTCCACCTGTCCAGGCGATTCCTTCGCTTTGGCCGTTTAAAAGCGCTTGTCCTTGTTGCTGAAGAAGCACACAGAGTCTTCCAACTTAAAGGCTTGCGGTGACTTAGCCTTCATGTACCAAACACCGCGAATCCGATCTTCACACCATTTGGCACCATCCTGTACCTCCATGTTCTGGTCGTAGACCTTGAAGAGCATGGTATTTGATCTTGCGGTCGGCCACGGTTGACTCTCCACATTGGAAAAGGGATATGGCATAGGCCTGCCTGAACTCTGCCGCACTGGCCCGAAAGACATTTCGCCAACTTGAGTTGACGCTTGACGACTTGTCAGTCGGCTCGCATCGTTGATAGCCGTAGATGAAGACTCCGAAGGTGCTGCTGCGCTTGCCACTTCCAGCGCTGGTAGTTCATGGGGTTGTGGTTGATCTTGAGGCTGATCCACTTCCATGGTGTTCTGCTGATCTGCCATCTCACCTGCGTTGCCACCGCAGAGTTCGGTAATATCCTCATCAACTTCTTCTCTAACCGGGGGCAAGCGTCGTCCTTGCGGGCGCAACTGGATTTGAACTTCTTCTTGTTGATCTTGTTCCCTGGCAAATGCTGTGGCCTCCTCCTCCAGGTCGCGGTAGTGTCGGATGTTGCCAGACTCCAAACCTTCCAGCATCTCGGCACTAAGAACCTTGATCAGCTCCACGCCGAGATTCTCCTCCGAAGTCGCGTGCCTGAGGTGTTCCTTGGCCACCTTGAGAAGATATCCACGAAGGGGACATAACACCGAACTGTTGTTTTCGCTGATGGCCACCACAACTCCAGGTCCGGACCAACCACGAAAGTTGTTGTTCTCTCGCCACACGTAAACTGTCTCGTTGGGCTTGAAGTCCTTGAGGTCGGTCATGCGCGTATTGTTGTTGTCCTGAGATCTCATCCATGCTCGTGCTGCTGCATCCCGTATCTCTCGAGACCTTGCCATAGTGTCTTCTTGACTCAGATGCAGATCACGGTCCAGGTAGTCGTCCGACAGCAATGCCGCTGGAAGCCTTGATTTGTAACCGAACACCCGTTAATACCGGCTGAACCCTGACCGGTCATAGTAGCGATTTCGAGCCACCTGTGTAGATGCTACTGCCATCTGCAACTCCTCCTCGGTCTGAATGGTCAGCTTGTGGATCACAGTCTCCAGCGTGCTCTTGCCAAAGCGCTCCACACACCCGTTTTGCCAAGGACTTGCCACGTCCCTGTAGTGAACAATGACGCCCCGGTCGGTGAGGGTGTCAGCGAACTTGCTTCCAACAAATTCGCCGCCTTGATCACATATCAACATTCTCGGAGCTCCATAGTGAGCGAACCACGTCCTCAACAATCATAATGGTGCCAAAAGGATCACATCATGCTGCAAGAAGTCTGGCCGTCACGAGAAGCAGGCAGAGCGCCTTGTCCGTCAGTTTGGCGCTGTAGACACGAGCCCCCACAAAGAAGCCATGGCGGCAAATGTAGGTGCATCTCCTTTTGCCACACGGTGACGTGCTTGTTGGAGTTGAAGTGCCATGGCGTCGAGAGATTTGTTGCCATTGAGGCGGGAAGGGTGATTGGCCCACTTCATCAATGCTTGAGGAGTAGTGGTCGTAGGAGCCTGCTTGAGGAAGACGCGAGGTTGATCACTGGTCCAGGTGTAGCGCTTGATGATATCAGTGCATTGTCAGTAGATTGGATGTGACCTGCTTGGTAGGCCGTGGTGACATGCCATGAAGAGATTGGATGATCCGTGGTTGTTGTTGAGGATGAACATCAAAGGACTTGCCATCCAGAGCGGCCGCACTCACCGTTGGCAAGGAACTCGTGGGAGTAGAGGACTGCGAGTGATTCACCGGTGGCGGTGTGACCAGCGCAGCATCGTCATTGCTGATGTTAGCCGTAGACGGAGGTGACGATCGCTGCGATGCTGAGCACTGCGCCTGAAGCAGCTCGTGCTCGCGTTTGAGGTCGTGATATTTCTGCAGCGTGTCATCTTCCGGGGAGCGGGCTTTGATGGCTTGATGATGCTGATTCAAGAATTCCAGGATGAGATTGCCAAGGTGCTCGTGAACCTTAATCCGCTGGTTGAAATCATCCATCTTCAGTCCCATCGAGCCTGCAAGGTCCTTTTCCAACGTAAAAAGCAAGTTGAGGGGTTGAGACCGGCGAAGCAACTTCGAGCAAGTACTCCAAAGCAGGGCTTCAGTGCGTGTGCGCAACCCTTCCCACGTCACAAAACGTCCATGAACAAATGGCCGGAGCAACCAGTTTGAAATGCCGCCGTGGATGACCTGCGCCAGGCGAACGTCACGAATGTCCATGCCCGACATCTCACGTTGCGTGTTGTGAGGAGTGTTGGCAACGGTCATGGGAAGTGTGAAGGAGTAGAGAGAGGATTCTTGTCCAGCATGCCCTCACTGGGTTGCCACTCCTCTGGCGGGATGAGCCACGGCTGCTTAGACTGCAATGGCAATGGTGCCGGATGGCTCGTTGTTGCCGCAGGTTCCGGGTGTCGTCCGTGTATGTTGTCAGACGGCACCACTGCGGTCTGCACGGTGCCGAATGATGGAATTGCGCCAACGGAGGAGGAGGAAGCTGCAGGTAGTTGGTCAGTGGCTGCGGTATGGAACTGGGAGGATTGATGCTCGGAATCTGCTGCCACATCAGTGGACCAGTCCACGCCGTCCAAGACCACGGCCGCTTCATATTCCCCACGTCTGCGAAATTTGCGAGTCGGAGTAGGGCTCCTGTCACGTCTGCGTCGAGTTCTAGATCTGTCACGATCATCACGGCGGGACATGACAACTCTGCGAACCCCAAGGGATGGTACACATCGATCTTGATGAAGAATGAGACCGTCAAACTTCAAGTTCATGCAAACACAAGGTCATGGCAAGTCCAAGTCCAGCAAGCAGTGACCAGGCGCCCGTGAGACGTAGCTATGATCTGGTGGCTGTCTTCTCTTTAGTGAAACCTCGTTCCTGCTTAAACGTGAAATTCCGCTGAACTATGATATGAACGTCGAGGTCAAATTGTCCGGCGAACCGGCCCGGGGTCACACGATGGGTACACCCGAGGTTCCCCCAGGATGAGGTGATCACACCTCAACTCCCAAAGGAGGGTGCTAATCCTTTGAGTACAATCGATGAGTCTCGAGTGGGTGGATTTTCGGCTCGCATTACACTCGGCTTCACTCTAGCTACTTGAACAGGGAAACAAGGAAGCAACGGCGGTTCAGGGAGGGGACCAAAAGGACCTTAAATCACTTCGCAGCTACGT